TTTCACTCTTAAATATTAAAAGCTTCTTTTCGATATTTTTCTTACAATTTTCTTAAGCTGAAACTATTATAAATTTAATATTTTCTCTAATTTAAAATAATATTAAAGTAAACAAGAAAGGAAAGCTAACTTCGGGCTGAGCCGAAGTTTATATACCCTTGCAGTTAAAACCGGATATATATCGCAAACATCGGATATAGTTGGCCGATCCTTATGGGAATAGGAATATATACTCCAATTTATTACAATACAAAATCTAAAAAAAGTCCCAAGCTTCTATCTTCAAAAATACGAAAGTTGATATTTCTACCAAATACCATTTCCGATCGTTCAGTTATATGGCAGCTATAGGATATAGTCGGCCGATCCTAATGAAATTTGGTAGGTTGGATCAACTGACCAAAAATAGAGTCTGTACTAAATTCCAGCTTTCTATCTTCAAAAACACGAAAGTTGGGTCATTTCCGATCGTTCAGTTATATGACAGCTATAGGATATAGTCGGCCGATCCTTATGAAATTTGGCATGTCGTAATATTTTGCCAAAAATAGCTCTCATGTGAAATTTGAACTCTCTAACTCTAAAAATACCAAAGTTATACCATTTCCGATCAATCAGTTATATGGCAGCTATAGGATATAGTCGGCCGATCCGGGCCGTTCCGACTTATATACTGCGTGCAAAGGAAAGAAGGGTGTGTGCAAAGTTTCAAGACGATAGCTTTAAAACTGAGAGACTAGTTTGCGTAGAAACAGACAGACGGACAGACGGACAGACGGACATGCTCATATCAACTCAGGAGGTGATCCTGATCAAGAATATATATACTTTATAGGGTCGGAGATGTCTCCTTCACTGCGTTGCACACTTTTGGACAAAATTATAATACCCTCTGCAAGGGTATAAAGAGCCCGAAAATAGAATTTTTATTAGCATACTTATGGCAGGACTCGTGGCCCTAATGATCTCTCTATATGGCAGAATGCACATGCAACAGTTGCACCATTTTTAAATATCTATCCCTGTCTCTGTCTTGGCAGGTGGCCATCCCACTCCCACCTAGCTTCGGGCCAGGCTTCGGGTTAGGGTTCGGGTGGGGACGAGGCATTCGGGTTGCATTTTGAGCGACTGCGGGTATCGCTTTTTCCCGCAACACCGCGAATCGCAGCGATCATTCGTCGATCGGTCGTGGAGCGGAGTGGTCGCGTTTCCAACTACCGTTATTCTGATACTATATACTCCTTACCTGTATTATATATATTTTTTTTTTTACCTTAATAATAACAACCGATTACCGTCGCTGGTGCCGGCTTTTTCGGGAACACCCACTCTGCCAAAACTCTACCACTACATCGCGTTAAGTGAACAATTTTCAAGTATTTTATTTTTCTTAGTTTTTTTTTTAAATATTTTTTGTTGGTTTTGTGTAACAAAAATAAAAAACTAAACAAGAAACACTGAGCAATGGCCAACAAAAAAAAACTTGGCCATAAATTAAAAGCCAAGCTGCCAGAAAATGAAAATTGAAAACCCATCGCCTTGACTGACAAGCCACTTGGAAGAAGAAAAAAAAAAACTGTAAGTTACTTAAAAAACTGAGTAAAAAAAAAATGCTAAAAAATGCTAACTGCTTAGTACTAAATGTAATTGTTGCCGTCAGAGTTAATAATTCTCATTAACTTTGGAAAGGCCAAGGGGAAAGGGACGAAGTGCAAGAGAGCTACAATATCGGAACGAATATAACGTCTTGAAAGAGACGGGCTGCTAGCGGCAGAAAGAGGCAGCAAATAACTCATCTTGCTAGTTGTTGTTAGCCAGTTTTTTTTTTTAGTTAACGTTTTAGTTTTTTTTTTTTTTTATTTTAGACACCTTGACTTTCGACTTTTGTCGCGTCTTGACATCTTCTCTTATTAACTATGTAATTTGCTCTTTGTTTTATTGCACTGCATATACTAAATTATTATTTTTATTATAACTCATTACTGGCATGCACAAATGGCTGGAAATAGAGGCGATATATATGTAGCTGGATATAGGAGTTTTATTTTCTCTCGGTGCCTTGTCACGTTCTTTAGACATGTCTAGAAATTCTACAAGATGATACAATCCATGATTTTTTGGTATTTCAAATTCTTAAGATAAGATTTTCTTTCCATGGGCTCACTGCCTGATTTTAATTGAGTTAGTTCTTATCGATCCGAGAATGAAATTACTCACTTTCGATTATAACAGACATATATAGAAGTTATCAGTGAATCAAGAAATATTAAATAATAATACTACCTTTATTTGAGGATCCTATGAAGAACCACCTTTCATGGGCATTGGAAGTCACTCCCTAAACAAACAACCAGCAACCAGTACCGAGATATTCCCATCGTTATAAAATATATATATGTATACATACTCTACCTCTATATTCTATACTATATACCCTTATATATGTATATATATAGTACGTTTTCCATAAAACCAAACCTCAAACTCCAAAATCGTCTGTGAACTTTTGCTGACACAAAATTCCCGGTAATGTATCGTGTTTGAATTTCAAACCAAACACCCAGAAAAACCAGATATATATATGTATATATAAATCCAAGTTGTATAAATATGCACACAACTATCCAATAAGTGGAGCACTCTCGCTTAGAAATTGGAGTCTGATATGTATATAGTTTTTGAATCCCTGGGGTTGCATTACCCGAGAGATCCTCGGTTCAGATATCTTAGCTTTTTGGGTGAAAAACTTAAATGTTAATGTTAGTATTAATGTTTATTTATAAACAAAATGAAACCGGGGGGTAAACTGCGGATATCTTTGGAGAAACGATAAGATAAGGATTAAAGTGAAGCCAAAATAGGGAGGGTTTCTCGAGAACTAGGGGAAATTGAGGAAACTATTGCAATAATTGTAGACTTTTTGCAGAAAAATTAACTAGAAATATATATAATCAGTAAGAAAGAGTTCCCAATGAATAATACTGTGGGATTTTTTTTTAGGAAATAATCTAACGTCATCGTAGCATAAAAAAATAAAGATTGTTCAAGTGTTTCTATATACTACATATATATATTTTGTTGTTGGAAGATAAAACTTAATCTTAAAATTTTGGCTTTATCAAAAAATGTGTTAACTCGTATTCCTTTGAATGGCGAGTGACACACTTGAATGCTATTTTTTCATCGGAAATAGTTTTTATGAAACTTCCGGTTGCTAGGCAAACTATTCCACTTAAGGTCTAGCCTCTCCCAGAAATCCACAGAAAGAACTCTCCAGAGAGAGAGAGCTATAGACCCAGCTATATAACCTGACGCCTTAACCCTTCCGCCAACATTAACATTTTTATCTTATCGGCCGAGGCCCGAATTTCTGTATGTTTAGGTTAGGATTTTTATGATTTCTATATGACTTTTTTTTTCCATGGAATCAAGCTATATACATTTTTGTATATATATATGTATTTGATATCATATCATATCATTTGTGGTGTGGTTGTGACGTTAATGTGATCGATTGGTGTTCCAGAGTATCCAGATACCAGATACCATATACCAGATACTGTATACCCACTTACCAGACTTACCAGTGGCGTGAATAATATTACCAATATTTGTTTATGAAACACAAGTGTTTTTTTCACACCCCAGTGTCGGCCATGTTGCAAGCTGTTCTCTCATCAGGTCTTTGGTCTCTTGAATCTCCCAGTCTTTAGGCTACAGTCTTCCAGTCTTCAGTCTTCATTCTTTCAGTCGTGTGGTCTACAGTTTCTTTGACTTTGTTGCCAAGTTCTTAGCGGCGAGTCGTTAATGTTGATAACCCAGTTTGCACAAGTGTCTTTTTGGCTTTTTCAATACACTTGACAAAAAGTGGTAATTGGAATATATTATAATGAAATATATAGAAGAACTATATAATAGTTTAAAGATAAAAACAAGTTATAGACAAAAAAGAAAAGCCTTTTAATGAAAAACTGAAAAGAAGAATAGGTTCTCTTACTTAAAGAATGTTTAAACTTTAAAATAATCTAAAAAGTTTACTATTTCTATTTAAAATATCAAACCTTAAAAATCTATATCCCCAAAAATCTCAAAAATTATTTAATATTTAATATTATTTTATATTTTATTTTTAAGACTTCATAAACCCCTTTATCCCCAACTAGACCTCTTTTGATGGGATGATGCATCACATTTTCGGGCTACGTCATTTGGCTTTAATCTTATCGTCCAACTTAAGCAGTTGTCTTAATTTTAAATTCCTTGTATTGTAATTTATTAATTTTTTTCCACCTTTTATGAATCATTTCGGGGCCATAATTATAATATTCGCACATGTGCTTGCAGTTTCTGAGCTAATTTTAATTAACTTGCCAATTTTTGTGTGTGTTTTTTTTTTCAAATATTTATTTCTTGGTTGGTTTCCCGTAGCCTGTAATTTTTTTTTAACAGGTTTTTAAGCCAGTTTTTTTTGTATTTTACATTTAAAGGCATATTTTTTTTTGTAAGTAATTTTTTTTTATGACTCTCCGGCCATTTTGTTGGCGCCCATTAAAGCGTCTCGTCATGGGTTTTATGGGGATTTCGTTTCTGTGACTGGAACTCGGGGACCTTATCGCCAACGTCGACGTCGACTGAGGCAGAGGCAGCGGCAGCGGCAGTGGCAGCGGCAGCGACCGCCATCTTTGCTCAACTCATCCATAAACTCATTAACGCGCGCATGTCTCACGCGCCGGCTCCCCTCCTAGTGCCACCCCCTCTGGGCGACGCCCCTGCCATTAGCGTCTACCAATTGACCTGGTTTTCCCTCCCACCGGGGGGCAGGTGGGCCGGGCAGGGCGGTATAGCGGCCAAGTCAGCGGCGCCTGCGCAACAAGTGCCACATGGCCATGTCCAGCATAAGAAATGCTAACTTTTAAAATAAATACGAGCTTAAAAAATAATTGATAAATAAATAAAAATTAATAGAATTTTTATTAATTTTTTTTCTATTTCTTTCACAGCAAAATGAGGACCAGAATGTGGAGGACAGCTGGTGCTGGGAACCGGTGGCCAGTGAAGGCGGCAAGCCCTCGCCAGTCACCGGTGGAGCCGCCGGATCCGGTGACTCCGGCCTGGTGGACATAGCCCTGGGCACCCAGGATGTGACCAGATTGAACAGCCGCATCTCGGAGCTAGAGGAGCTGAATCAGCAGCTGAATGCCTCGCTGGAGGAGCTGGACTCCCAGCACGAACTGGCCATGCAGGACGTCCTCAAGCACAAGACCGAGCTGACCAGCCAGGTGGCCCAGCTGAAGCAGATCCAGGCCGACCGGCTGGTGGAGCACGAACTGGCCCAGGCCAGGCAGCAGAAGCAGCTGGAGGAGCTGCGGCAGGTGGCGGCCACCGCCAAGAGTCTGCAGGAGGAGCTCCAGCAGAGAGTCAGCCAGCAGGAGGAGGAACTGAAGCGAAGCATCACCGAACTGGCCGAAATGCAAGTCCTGGTGGAGAAACGGGGCCAGGATAATGCAGAGCTGATTGAAAGGATTCGCCAGGCGGACGCCGAAAAAGAGAAACTGATCAAGGAGGTGGAGGAACTGCGTCTCACCAAGGAGAAGAAGACCTCGGAGTCGTCCTCCCAGAGCTCGTCGACGGGCAAGCACAGCGAGGACGAGTTCATAGTGGTTCGTCAAACGGATGCCGGCTCCGAGCCCGATCCGGAGGTCACTCCTCCCCCCTCCAAGGAGAAGCTGCGCGATCGTCTCGTCTCCCTGGAGGCCCAAATCTCCGAGCTGGCCCTGACCAATAGCCAGCTCCAGGACGGCCAACTGGAGAAGCAGTTGAGCATCAATCTGCTGGGCGAGCAGCTGGTGGAGCTGGAGAAGCGCCTCCACCTGAGCGAGGCGGAGAAGGAGCAGCTCCAGCTGGATCTCCAGCTGAGACTGCAGCAGCTCACCGTTCAGAACCAGGAGCTCAAGCTGCACGCCGAGGCGGAGCAGGAGGGGCATGCCCAGGATCTGGAGGAGCAGCTGGGCACTCTGCGGGAGGAGAACAGTCGCCTCCGGCAGGAAATTGATGCCAGCATAGCGCAGGCCAAGTTCCGGCAGGCCATTGCCGAGGAGAAGCAGGAGATCACCGATCTGGACGAGGCCGAGTCCGAGGATAGTGCCTTTGACCTGGAGAAGCTGCGCTCCCTGCTCCAGGCCGAGCTGGAGGATCGCCTGGAGAGCTCCCAGCCCCAGCAGGTCCTCGAACGAGCCTGGAGCTCGCTGCGATCGCGCTGGCACCGGCTCGATGTGGTGGAGCAGCGCCTGGCGGAGCTCCAGGATCAGCAGCTGGTGACGGAGCACGAGAAGAAGACCCTCGAGGCGGACATCTCGCAGTACATCCTCCAGTGCGACGAGCTGATGAAGAACAACGAGCTCCTCCTCAACGAGCTGGACAAGTTCAAGCGAAACAAGCTGGAGACCATCGAGGAGCACCACGAGGAGACGATTGTCCAGCTGGAGGGCCAGCTGGAGGATGCCCGGCTGCGTCTGGAGGTGGCCCTTCAAGCGCAGCGTGAGCTGCAGGAGGAGCTGTCGCGCGAGTCCTCCGAGCCGGACAGTTCCGAGCTCAAGGAACTTCTCGCGGCCACAAAAGCCAAGCTGGAGAAGGCCGAGGCCAAGCTGGCAGAGAACCTGAACCTGGAGGAGATCCTCACCAACACAAAACTGGAACTAGATAGGCAGAGCAATCTCCGCGAGAAGGCAGAGCAGGAGCTGGAGGAGCTGCCGTCACTTCGCCAAGAACTGGAGGCCAAGGTCAGCCAACAAAAGTCCCTGGTGGAGCAGCACAAGAATCATCTCGCCAAGTTGCAGGAGAAGATCCAGGAGGATCAGGAAAAGATCCGGGAACTCCTCCTCCAGCAGGACAAGCTGGACCAGCAAAAGGAGCTCATGGAAGTGGAGCAGAACCAGCAACTGTCCACCATGAAGAAGGAACTCCTCTCCACGGCCAGTCAACTGCAGGACTGCCAGGAGAAGCTGAACCAGCGGGAAGTCCAGCTCTCGGAGTTGCAGGAACAACTGAAAGACATCACCGAGGAGAAGGCCAAGCTGGAGGAGTTGCTCCAAAACAGTGGCGGAGACAGCCCACAGGTGCAGGAGCTCCAGAAGCAGCTGGAGGAGATTCAACAGAAGGAGCAACAGTGGCTGAAGGACTCCCAGACGCAGCAGCAGGTCCAGCAATCGGTGGAGGCTCTCGGCCAGGAGAAGCAGGAGCTGATCAAGGCCCTCCAGCAGAAGCATCTGGAGAATACCCAGTACTACGCCGAGATCCAGAGACTCCAGCCCGTGGAGCTGCAACTGAAGGAGCTCACCAAGGAGCGTGAGAAGCTGCAGGATCAGATTGCCTTCTTGAAGGAGAAGTCCGACATCCTGACCACCAATCTCCTGACCGAACAGACCAATCAACGCCTCCTCCAGCAACAGCAGCAGGAGGCCCAGGAGCAGCAGGCCACGGTGATGCGGGATCTGGAACGTCTGCGGGCGCATCTGCTCGAGGTGGAGGATCTGCACACCCAGGAAACCGTGGAACTCCAATATGAACTGGAGCAGTGCCGTTCCCGGCAAGCGGTTCTCGAACAGGAGGCCTCCAAGTCCAGCACGGCCTACACTTCAGCCAGGTAAGGAAGAGTCCTATATTTCCTAATAGCCTAATCCTAAAACATTATCCTTTTTTTTTAGCATTCGCGCCAACCAGCAGGCGGAGACACTTCAGGCCCAGCACGTCCTCCTCCAGCAGCAGCGGGACGAGCTGCTGACCAAGCTGGGCCAGCTGGAGGATCGGGAACTGAAGCAGCAGGCGGCTCTCACCAATCTCCAGTGTGCGCTGGAACAGTTCCAGAATGGTAACTGATCCATCTGGATAGTTATATAATAATAGTACCATTAATAGTACCAATTTCCAGACAAAGAACATGATATAGAGATGGCCACCCAGAGGATAAGGCGGGAGATGCAGAGCCAGCTGGACCGCCAGGATGTACTCCAGGCGGAGATCGTGGCTCTGAAGCAGCAGCTGGCGGACGCCAACCAGGGCTTGAGGGCGGCAGCTCGTCTCTCCGACCAACTGGAGGCAGGACAACAGACCATTGCTGTCCTCAGAGACGAAGGTAACTACACTTGAAAAAATAAACCATCTACTTATTTTTAATCTCTTGTACTAACCTTAAAAACCCAGCCTGTATTTAACCCAAAAAAAAAAAAACAAAAGCACTTGCAAAAATATCCTTTTTTTTTTAAGAATGTGTGAGTGTGTCTGTATGTGTGAATGACTGTGTGTGTGTGTGTGTGTGTGTTAAAGTGTTCACCACCTCACCTGATTCTTAAAGGTAAATATCAGCTGGTAATTCTGGGAGCTATGCCTAAATATGAAACACTCGGAATTTCAGTTGGTATCGACTTTTCTGAATTGCATTTTATCACCAAAAAAAAAAATTAAATATAAAAAAAAACGCAAACAAAAGCCGCAAAAAAAAAAACACCCAAAAACAAAAATCAAATATTTATAAACTATTATTTATAAAAAATAAAAAAAACGCACTTTACGGCACGTGGCAAACCTAAAAATTAAAATACTAAACTATTGGCTGTAGACTGCAAAAAGGTAAAAGAATAATAATTATTTTCAAACCAAATTGTCTGTCCGGTTTCTCTGTGTGTAGCCAACAAAAACAAACACCACTAAATAATGCACTTGAAAAAAAAATATGTAGTTGAAAAACACAAAACCACCAAGAAAACATAAAAAAATCAATCAAAATTAGGCGCCTTCTATGTTGTAAACTAATTAATGTAGAAAATAAATAGTTAGATTTAGCAATAAATTTTAAATTTTGTTTGTTTCATTTATAGCTGTGTGGTATAAAAAAATTTATAAACTTTATTGATGATTTTTAAATGTTTTTTATTGAGAAAGATAGTCTGTTTAGCAAAAAAGTTGATGTTTTTATCAAAAAAGGTATTCTTTTTGAAGAAAATTAGATGAAATTATTTTTATAAACCAAAAACTTAAGCATTTATTTTATTAAAACTTATTTTTATTTTATCTTCAAGTTGAAAAGATTTATTTTAACATTTCTTAAGTAGTTTTTTAAAGTAGAAAAGTATTAGAAATGTAGGCAACCCTCTAGAGGCAGTTCCTAGACTAGTATCTTGAATAAAAAAACAAATAAAATTATACAAAAATAATCAAGAAATTACTTCAAAATTTTAATAAATTAATTAACGAACCACACAGCTTAAAATTAGTTTAAAGTAGTTTACAAAAAATGAAACCCCCACCACCTACACAAAAAGACATATTTGTTGCCTTGTTGTTGCTTTGTTTTGCTTATTTTTATCTTAAATATTATTATTTTAATTATTTATTGTTGTAATTTATGGCCTTAATTATTATTTTGATTGAGTTTGTTGTTGATTTGTTTGAAATTATAAGCGTTGCCCCCCCAGACACAAGGACCTTCGTATGAAACCCAGTTCGTAAAACCGTACTATTCGTTATTCCGTAAAACCGTAATTCGTAAAACCGTAAAACCGTAAAACAAAAAAAACCACAACAAAAAATATATATATCCATCTGCAGCATTGAATAATCTCAATTTGTAAATGTGAGCGATTTGAGCCATTTGAGGGACTCACTTTGCAATTGGAGATTGCTCGAGACTGCGGCCTATGCCACAAATTATTATGTACACACCCTATATAGACACTTTTGTATATATATCTCGATATATGTATATAATGCTATATAGACTGTCTACCTACCTATGTACCTCTGCATGTCTGTACGTATCTTTTCTACATATATATATACAACATATATCTAGTTTGCTGCATTTTTTTTTTTTAAATTTATTTTGTTCGTCGTTTTTGCTTCTTTTTTCGTATTATTTTGCATATTTTTGAATAAGGATTGATTTTGTTAACCAATAGCAACCAAAAATAATGCAGTTCAGCCATTAAAAAAATTAAAAAAAATATATATATTAGAATGAAAGATGTTTTCGAAGCTGAGAACCTACGCGTCGCGCTGTACTGGATGTACTGCTCCTGGAAAACACACAACCAATGAATGGCGTCTGTACGGTTGAGTATTACATCAGGTACTGGTGTGCCTTAAATCCAACAACCAGTACTTATGTCATACTACGCCGTGCACCGATCGCACTAACCGCATGCCAACCAGATACCTCAAAATATATCCAAAACAGACCTCAAAATAATATCCCTACTTTCAAAAAAAAACGCGCGCGCTTTTCATCCACGGAATGTGCTTTGATTTTCTTTTTATTACCGAACTACCTCTCTAAAAAATAATTATTTTATTTCATTTAAAACAATTCATTTAATTCCTAACTTGATTTTCAATCAAAAATATATATCAGATCACCATTCAAGAGTTCCTCAAACTAATCCTTTTGAAAACCTTTACTTTGCATCCTTTTCTTCCTCGCATTATCCCAGTGGAGAGCCTGAAGGACACCAACGGACAACTGGAGACCAGACTGAACAGCAGCGAGAGCAGCCAGACGGACAAGATCGACAAGAGCCTGATCAAGAGCCTCCTCATTGGATATGTCGTCAGCGGTCATGCCGGCGACAAGCAACAGGTCCTGCGGATGATATCCTCGGTGCTGGACTTTTCAGCCCAGGAATCCGACAAGGTGGGCCTGAACAAGCAGCAGAGCAGCTGGCTGGGCAGTATCCTGGGAGGTGGTAGTTCTTCAACAGCCGGATCAGGTAAGATTCCATTGAATCCTAAAAAAAGGACCTATCTAATTCTAATCCCCAACCAGGATCTGGCAATGACAACCTGGTGCAGGCTTTCGTACAATTCCTGGAGCAAGAATCCCAGCCACAAGCCAATCTTCAGTCCCGACCCACTTTGCTGAGCATGTCCGGTCAGGTGGAAGCCGCCGCATCAACGCCACCAGCCGCTCTGCCTCTCCCAGCTCCGGCTAGCTCCGGCCCGGAGAGATCGGATGAAGCCACAACCACGTTAGCTGTGGGATCTAGCGAATTTGCACCGTCACGGAACTCCAGTTCGATATTAAAGGACATTCTCAGCGATTCCTGATGGTTCTAGTTGAGGAACAAAGCTATCCAACCAGCCACAATAATTTTAAAATCCGTTCTTTTTTTTTCGATGTCTCGTCCTTTTTAAACATAAATTGTAAACGTGCAATCGACGACGCCATTAACCTCCCACTCCTCCTCCCACAAATATCTCTCGCCCTATATATATATGGATATATATATATATATATATTAATGTATACATGTGCTAACCTGTGTATAGTGTCCGTGTGTATATGTTGTGCGACAAGCTAGCAATTTGTAAATATGTAATATTCAATTTTGAAATATGATAAAGTCACCGCAGTGGCAGGACCCACTCATCCTTGTGGTCGGTCTCCTGCCTGTGGCGCGCCTTCACATCAGCGGCCTTGCTATTAATTAATAGCCGCTAATAAATAATAAACAATTATTACAAAAAAATAAATAAAATATTGTCTATTTTGGAGGTACTTTGACTAATCTTTGGCATTATAGGGCCCATTGGAACCAGTTTTTGAAAGCGCATAGCTCGGTCATTACTTGACCGATTTGGAAACGGAATACCATTTTGTTATCAGGACAAGAATATCATTCAAACTGCATCCCAGGATCTTGTATTTTGGCGAAAAAATTTTGACCCGATTTTTGCATTTTTTGAAAGGGGTAGGGTTAGATTTTTGTCAAAATTTTGGTCAAATTTTTTGTGTTCGATTTTAAAGATTTTTTAATGCAGATCAAAGGCGATTGAGTTCCGGATTTCAAAATGGTATTTCATTCCTTAATCGGCTAAAAAATAGCGGAGATATTCGTATTCAAAGATATGAAATCCTAAAATTCAGAAAACGCATTTTCGAAAGCGAATATTTCGGCCATAACTTCACCGATTTCGATACGGAATACCGTTTTATGATCAGGAATACTATATTCTTCGAACTGCATCCCAAGATTTTGTAAATCGAGCAAAAAAAATTTGACTCGATTTTCGAAATTTTTGAAAGGGGTAGGGTCAGGATTTTTGCCAAAATTTGAGTCAAAATTTATTTGTTTGATTTTTAAAATATTGGGATGCAGATCAAAGGATATTCTCATCCTGATTACAAAATGGGTCCTCTTTTCAAAATCCGTCAAGAAATGGCCAAGATATGAGCTTTAAAAGATCCGCCTTGGCGGCCAACTCGCGGCAAAAATTTCTCGAAATTCGTATGGGAGCCCATCTGAGGTACCAGGCGAACAGAAATCAGCAGAAGGTGGCCGAATTCAAGCAGTGCAAGCAGTTTCACCGCCCCCCTCACCCTAGCTTCGCCAGAAAAACGACACAATTGTCCCTTGTCCGGCCCCATGGACCTCACTCTCCCATGCAAGTTTCTCAAGCGGGACTTGATTGTTAGGACAATAAATAGTTGCTCCACCGTCTCCTAACTAAGTTTCCTGAGTATTTTATACATTCTACTTCACTGAATGATGATTTTAGAATCCTAAATTAGCAGTTTTGTTGCTTAATTAAAATAAATATTAAATATATAAAGGTAAAGACAAGTGAAGGGTTAACCGTCGTAATTTGCAGTAAAACGGTACTATGGTCCATGATGGCCAATCACAGCCTCCCAATTTGAGATCCACAACGGTGATTTCCACCTTGTGATGGCAAAACTAAAGTGGAACACGTTGATTTTCTGCGCGTGACACGATATGGGGCTATCGTGAGCGAAAATGTATGGGGACGGCTAGTCGTGCTCAGCTCGCGTGCCAAGTGCCGTTACAAATCCCTCCTGTTCTCCCATCACTGTGTCAGCCTAATCTGTGTACCTCTCCCCCTCTAATAATGATGGGTAGCAGCATCCCGTTCCCCCCCATGGACTATGATGCTGAGATCCCAATTCCATAAGGGTCAATGGGGGGGTAGAGTGCCACCACAGAAGGGGTTCTCCCTTTCCCACCCATGGCTATCTCAGAAAAATTGATCAGAACTGCTTGCACTGCTTGAATTCGGCCACCTTCTGCTGATTTCTGTTCGCCTGGTACTTCAGATTTGCTTCCATACAAATTCCAAGAATTTTTCGCTGCGGGTCGGGCGCCCAGGCGGATCTTTCTAAGCTCATATCTCGGTCATTTCTGAACGGATTTTAGAAAGCGATACCATTTTGAAATCAGGACAAGAATATCCTTCGATCTGCATCAAAATATTTTAGAAATCGAACAAAAAAATTTGGGCCGATTTTCGCAAAAAATCATGATGTTACCCCTGTCAAAAATTGCGAAAATCGGGTCAAATTTTTTTCGTCCGATTTACAAGATCTTGGGATGCAGTTCGAAGGATATTCTTGTCCTGATACCAAAAAGGTATTCCGTTTCCAAATCGGTCAAGTTATGGCCGAAATATACGCTTTCGAAAATGCATTTTCTGAATTTTAGGATTTCATATCTTTGAATACGAATATCTCTGCCGTTTTGTAACCGATTAAGGAATGAAATACCATTTTCAAATCAGGAACTCAATCGCCTTTGATCTGCATTAAAAAATCTTTAAAATCGAACAAAAAAAATTTGTCCCAATTTTCGTTATTTTTTAAAGGGGTAACATCATGATTTTTTGAAAAAATCGACCAAAATTTTGTTTGCTCGATTTTGAAAATCTTTTAATGCTGATCGAAGAATATTCAAATCCTGATTTATAAATGGTAATCCTTTTCCAAATCGGTTCTAAAATGACTGAGATATGTGATATAGATAGAACCTGTATTTTTCGATTTTTGAGGTTTTCTTCCTATATACCCTTTAACCCTTTCTTGCCAAATAAAACAACATTATTTTGGTAAGTACATACAATATACATATATATATATATACTTTTTTTGTTGGTTTGTTTTGATTTCTACACATCTTGCTTAGTAGGTTTTCCTATAACATTTCGATAAACTCTTTGAAATCGCATTTTGTATTTTATTTTTTTTCTAAAACACACACTTTTTTTTTAGTTTTAATTTCTTGTTTTTTTATGGCCTTGCTTTAACACATTTAAACATTTTCTACACATCATAAACAGGATCTAGAATTCTTCATCAATATCATTCGCTCTTTTTTTTTAAATTTTTTGATTTCTTTTTATAAAAAAATATACAATTATAAACACATATATATATATTTGTATATATATACGTATATCATGTGGTATGTACATTTAGATATTTCAAAAAGACGGGGAAAAAAAAAAATTCTTTCAATTCTTTTCTTTGTTTTTTATTTATTATTTGTTGTTTTTAATAAATTAGTAGAAAATACTTGTTGTTTTTTTGTTTTATACATTTATAAAAATACAATAGGGTCCATAGGTTGCGTTACACACATACACATTAATACACATATACATTTACAGCATATATGCATGTGTGGTATATATCTATATATTCCACTGATTTTTCCATTGATTTTATTTCATAGCGAATTGTTAGAGTTCTTAAATATTTAAACGCTAGAAAGTGGCAAAGTTTGCTTATTGCACAAAGGTGTGGTTGTTGTTTTTCTTGTTGTATACAATTAAAAAAAAAAAAAGACTTACAAAATGATTCTCTCAGTGTATGCATGTATGTGTGTGTGCGAGAGTGAAAGCTTCTTTTATTTTGATTTTTTGTTGGTGGGTCTGTGCGTGTAAGTGTTAGTTGTCTCTTGTTTGTTTGTGTGAGTATGGCAAGCATTTTGGTGCATACTTTTAGGGTAAAATCCATGTAAAAAACAACGTCGTGTAGAAAATACCCATTTTCAAGTCGGATTATTTGATTTGAAGGATTTAAATCCTTAGTAGACTATAAATATTTTAAATATATATATATTTATTTTAGGTCAGCAGTTTGTTTTTCAAAAAGGAAAATTAATTAAAAAAAAAAACAATAATTTGCTATAATTTCGGGGGGGTAGAACATATAAAGCTTATTTTGGCCTACAAATACCGAATCATAAACGTACATATATCATATATAGATTTTTCTATGGCAGCAGATTTTTTGTTGGATATCTGCGAACTTTGAACTTTAGCTAAATACATTAACATTACATATATATAGATGGATATATACACATACGACTTGATCAACATGAATAACAGCAAAATACATTCAGGTAATATCCGTTCGTTGGCTCAAAAAAAAATATATTAATTTATATTATATATATTTTATATATATATTAATTAATTATATTAGTTTAGTTGTGGTGGTTAATGCTATTATGTTACATTGAATCTACATACATACTATATTTAGAGAACATATATATATAAATATATATAATTCGCTAATATCCTTCCACATACACTTTTAAAGCCACACATTTTCATTAGTTTAAAGTTTAAAAAAAAATTGGGAAAACATTTACAAATATTTTAGGGCAATAATTGGTTTTTTTTTAATTACTGGTTAAGACTGGTAATTGTATGTGTAAAAGTATTGGATATTCAATAGGTATCGTTCTCTTGCAAACAACAATCAATCAATCTATCAATCAATCAATCAATTAATCTATCAATCTACCAATCACTAGCAACTTTAACCCGATTCTATCGATTCTATCGTTTCTATCGTTTCTATCTATTCAACATATTCATTTATATCACAAATAACACGGTTGGTTTTCCACGTTTTCTTTTCAATTTCCATTTGTTTTTCAAACCAACCTCGTGCCCCCCAGCCCCCCAGTTGTATATCCTTGCGTTATCCTTTGGGTTTCATGTCAGGGTTAAGAAGAGTCATTAAATGCAATTTTGAAACCATTTTTCAAGTGGTTTTCCCCCCCTCCTTAAGTTTCCACTGGCATGGCTGGATTCTGATTCGGATTTGGATTCGGATTCTGATTTGGATTCTGATGGGAAAGGGAAACCCCATTGGCGTGCAGTGATTCCTGGGATTTGAAGAGGGTGGTGGTCTCGCTGGAGTGCAGGTCATCCTCCTCCTCCTCCTCCTCTTCCTCCTCCTCCTCGTCCTCTACCTCCTCCTCTGGGTTATCTAGATCTCCCATCGATGCTTCAGATCCTCCTTTATCTGGGATCTCCACCTCCTCGATCAACTTCTCCCGTCGTCCTGTGTAGAGGAACACCTCCATGTGATCCTTACCCTTCACATAGACACTGCCCCTTGGCTCAAAGTCGTAGCGACTCTGCAGGAACGGCAGGCAGTCCTTGCCCACCTGGATGCGATTCGGGAGGCCCGTGGAGTCCATTCGGGAGGCCACATTCACGGCATCGCCCCAAATGTCGTAGTACAGCTTACTGGTCCCAATTACCCCGGCTGTGACATCGCCGATATTCATGCCGATCCGGAGGATCAGGTTGAACTCGAGCAGGTCCTTGTTGAAGGCATCCACCACCTCCTGCATGGCAATGGAGAACTCCATCAGGGTGTGGATGTGCTCGTCGCCAGTGCCCCGATGCGAGGGATCCAATCCACTGGCCGCCATGAAGGTGGAACCGATCGTCTTGATCTTCTCCACCGCCCGGAACTCTGGACGGGAGAGGAGCTCATCGAAGTCGCCGATCAGCTCGTTGAGGACCCGGAGGAACTCCTTGCCACCGAGATAGCTCTCGTCGTACATCTCGTTGAAGTTGACAATCGATGCGAATATGATGGCGATGTTGTGATGGTTCTCCGAGTACTTGGCCGTGTTCTTCAGGTGCTCCGCCACGTGCTTGGGTATGATGTTGTGGAGCAGCATGTCCGCCTGGTTCTTCATGTTCTGGACCCGGACCTTGTCCTGGTTGGCGACGGCATTGCCGTAGAAGGTCAGCCGATAACCGATTTCGAATTCCCGGTTGAGGAACCAGACCAGCACCAGGATGAGCAGCAGGTCCAGATAGATCTCGACGTGGTAGTCCTGGAACCACTTGATCTCCTCAATGAAGTTGGCCCCCCGATCGTCCTGCTGGTCCTCCACCCGACTGTCGTACACCATCAGCTGGGACATGGCGATGGCGATGAAGCAGAGGGCCGCCAGGAAGGCCAGGACGTTCCGCACCCAGCAGTTCAGCTGCGTAAAGTTGCAGAAGTGGACGATGCAGACGAAGATCAGGAAGCCGTAGTGGTACTCGAACGCCTCCAGCTGCTCCAGGTCCAGGAGCAGGAAGTTGGCGATGATCAGCAGGACGGGCATCGCCATCAGGATGGCCAGGCAAATGTGCCAGGGATACCAGCTGGAAATGGCCTCGAAGATGCGATCGGCGCAGGACTCGAACTGCTGCGGTGCCGGCGTCTCCCCTCTGTCGTCGGTGTGGCGTCTGCCCTCCACATCCTCGCTGGTGGTGGACTTGGAGCGGAATCGATGGTTGGCACTGGCGCCGGCACTGGAGCCGCTCTGCCGCCGGCACATCTGGCGGGTGAAGAGGAACAGGGCGAACACCTGGATGCCCGTGAAGCAGGTGAAGAGCGTCACCCACAGCCGGAAGCTGGGGCTCACCGTGTTCTGGGTCATCAGGAACAGGGATATCGAGATGCACAGGTAGACGGCGATGCCCACAAAGATGTCGATGTAGGTGTTGTACCGCGGCGTGGCCAGGGTGGGCGGTCCTTCCGTTTCGTTCTCGGCCCCGAAGCGGTGGGCCTTCGACCGGAAGTCCCTCTCCAGCTGGCGCGACTTGAAATACAGGCTGAAGCCCCGCAGCGGCGGCTTCACCAGGTAGCTCCTCTGGGACCTGGCATTGTCGCGAACGCATCGGATCAGCTGCAAGTCCGATTGCTTCCGCAACTGCTGCAGGCAGGCCGCCAGGGGATCGGCCAGCTGCGAGGAGCAGGCGTTCATCAGGAGCGGCGGCGGCGGTGCGGGTCCTGCCGGGGGCAGGCCCATGCCCTGGGCCTCGCCCAAATTCGAGATGCTGGAGGTGGAGCTGGTAAAGTATCCGGACACCCTGTGCTGGCTAATCGCCGACTGGTTGAGGACGTAGATCTGCTGCTGGATGGACGACCGGCGGGAGTTGCTCTTGATGCCCGAATCCTTCCGTGAGGTGGCCGACGGGCAGATGCTGCTCTGCCGCGAGTGGCTGGGCGGAAACATGCCCCCGAAGCCGGACAGGCCGGGCACTCCGGACCCCCCCGGGGCCGGCAGGCAACTGGGACTGGGATTCTGTGATGTTCCCGGCTCCAAACTGGCTCCGGGTCGGCCAGTAGCCAGAGTCGAGGCCCGGGGACGTGGCAGCGGGGATTGCTCCACGCAGGATGAGGGTGTTACCTGCGTGGATACGCCCGGGGCTGCTCCAGATGGTGCTCCGACCAGAGGTCCTCCTCCGCCCATGGACTGCCTGCCGCACTGGGATCGATAGCTGCCGGATCTGCCGAAGGGCGAGATGTCGCTCCTCGACTGACTTATGTAGGACCGGACGTCGATGATGTCGTCGTACATGGAATACTGACCCGGCGAGCAACATCCGCCAGTGCCCGGCTCCGGGGATCGCAGGACACTGCTGGCAAGGGCCGTCGAGGTGGCGGCATGATGGAGCACTGGCCGGGCCGGCGGGATGTCCAGGGTCTGGACGCGATTACTGGTGGCCTCGACCAGGACCGGCAGCTGCTGGTAGCCACAGCCGTTGCCGTTCTGCATCTGGTTCTCCATAAAGGACAGGGTCTCCTCCGGATTCAGGGATTGATCCTCCCGCTCTCTCTCCTTCTCCCTCTCCCGGTCCTTGTCCTTTTCCGCGTCCTGGCCGTTGGCCTTCTCCTTGTTCTCCTCCGAATCGTAGGAGCTGTTGCGGCGTTTCAGAAATTTCGGAACTCGATTCCAGATCTTCAAGCGGATCTTTGGACGCGACTCGGCCGGCGGCTGGGGAGCGGGGGGAGGTGCCTTGATGGGCGGACTACTGGGCGGTTGCTCGTCCGAGTCCAGGCTGCCGGGCAGGGACTTGGTGGTGATGATGATCTTTGGCCGCTCTCGCACCACAATCACTGGCGGAACTCCCGCCGCCGCCGGATGGATGATGCCCCGCTCCACGTCCCGTTCCCGCTCCCGACTCTGGGACTTCTTGCGCAGCTTCATGCTGAGCGAGGTGAGCCGGGGACGCATGGACAGCACTGGGGATGGATTCAGCGAACTGGAGAGCTGGCCCACCGGCGAGGCTGGCGGGACGTGGGGCTGCACCACCGAGACATTGGTGGCGCTCTGCGACAAGCTGGCATGGACGCCGGGCAGGAGCAGGGAGCTGCCGCCCGGATTCGGCGGCATGCTGGGACTCAGGCTGTTGGTGCGGGAGAAGTCCCGACGACGACCCACCACAAAGTAGGTACGATGTCCTGCGGATACAAAAGAATCCTCATTTGAGTTTCAAAAAGTGGGTTATGGGATGTCCCTTCTTACCAAAGACTTCCTCGCCCTCCTCCAGATAGTAGGCATCTCCCAGAAAGCTGGAGGTCTCCTGGGAAATGTGGACTTGCTCAGGCTTGCCAGAGGACTCCATTCTGAGGATTGAAAAGCCATGAAAAGCAATAGCTTGATGGGGGATAGGGGTACTCACTTGTTGGCCAGACTAACGTCATTGCTCCAGACATCGAACTTGACCCGCCGGGTGCCCACGATGCCGCACAGGACCGTGCCCGTGTGAACGCCCACCCGCATCTTGACGCCCTCGTGTCTCTGGGCGTCGAAACACCGCATCGCATCGATCATGCCCAGACCCATCTCCACGCAGCAGATGGCATGATCCGCCCGGGGCTCGGGACAGCCGGAGACGCAGTAATAGCAATCCCCCAGAGTGGAGATCTTCTCGCAGCCACTCAGCGAGCAGAGATCGTCGAAGCGCTCGAAGAGATCGTTGAGGATCTCCACCAGCTGCTCGGCGGTTTTCGTGGAGGACATGCGGGTGAAGCCGACAATGTCCGCAAACAGGATGCTGACATTCTCCATGCTGTGCATGTGGAAGGGCCGGAACAGGGACTTGACATCGTTGGAGGCCCGTGGACGCATGTAGTGGGATTCGGGCGGCAGTCCGGTGGCATCCAGGCCGGAGGTCCCTCCCTCGTTCAGCAGCATGTCAGCCACTTTGGGGGGCATCACCGAGTGTATCATCTTCTCCTTCAGCTGCTTCTCCATCTCCAGCTGGCGGCGCACGAGCAGATTCTGGCCGACCTTCATGAAGGTCCCTCGCATCCGCACCAGATTCATCACCAGGATGTGCACACCCACCAGGTGGACACTCAGATGGGCCATGATCCGGAGTATCAGGATCTTGTTGCTGGGATCCCCATTGGTGGTGACCGATCCCGTCACGCCTTCTGTCGCTCCTCCGCCATGGATGGCACTGCATCCAATCACCATGTGGGAGACCATTTCAAAGGCGATGGAATAGCTGATGGCGATGCTGGCGCCCAGCCACAGGGGCATCGGCAGGGCCGTGTAGATCAGCAGCACGATCTCCAGGCAGATGGCAAAGTGGCCCAGGGGACTAAACGCCCGGCCCGTGTACGTGAGGAAGGCCAGGGAGGCGCCACACAGCAGCAGCGCCGTCACCGCCGAGGTCACTGTCCGGTGCTCCCGGTACAGGTCCCAGTGGGTGAAGCACAGCGCCATGATCGTCACCAGGGAGAGCATCGAGAAGGAGCTGGAAATGGGCCGCCAGAAGTCCTCCGATCCGCCGTCCACCACAAAATACAAACACCACATCAGGGAGCAGAGTAAAATGTAAGACAAAGTGAATCTGAAAAGTGGTTTAAAAAATTATTAATATTATTAGGTTTTTTTTTTTTAATTAGTAATGAGACTGATATGTTTATATTATTTATTTTTAGTTTTTTAAATTATTGTTAAGAGAACCAACATGTTTTAAATGAGGCTTCTTTAATAAACTCATTTCGAAACTCCTTTTGACTTCAAGTCAAGGAGAAACTGCAAAGTGTCTCGAAGGATCAAAATTATATAGAAGGATCTTTAAAATAATGAGGATGTCCTTTGAACAATTTTCATGTTCTATTAATTGAGAATTTTGAAAAACAAAGCTTAGCTGTAAGCCATAATATTATTAAATACCTAACAGAATATATGATACCCGGTACTACTTTTCTACAAAATGGCTATTGGTACCACGTAAACAGCGCCCAAAATAATATTGTTGTTGTTTTTCCTTTATTTTGTCGAGAAATAAAGAATATATTAATAAAAGTTGAAAAATAAAAACAGTGCCCTCCTCCTCGATTCTCATAAGTGGCACCTAAGCAAAGCCAAAAATAACAATTAAATTAATTTTATTAAATTTTTTTTATTGAAAAAATAAATTGGAAATTAAAAATTAATTTATTAAAAAAAAGCGCCCTCCTCCTCGATTCTCATAGTTGACACCTAAGCAGGCCCAAAAAAGCCAATAAAAATCCCTAATTTTTTTATTGATTTTTTTTTTTAACAATAAATAAATTAATAAATACAGCGCCCTCCTCCTTGCTTCTCATAGGAAGCACCTAATCAGCGCCTAAACACCTAATTAAAATAATTTTAAAAAAACCTAAATTACTAGAATAAAATTCCTTAAAGCCTTTCCACTTAATTATAACTGTCTCGAGACATCTAATGATATATTTCCTTTTAAATTAAACAGTAAACAGGCCTTCATTAAACTTCAATAAAGTAACTTATCCTTTTTTAAACTTTATAAATAAAGAAAATTTCTATAAATAAACTTTATAATGAGTACTATTCGAATGGGAAATTAAATTCCGGGAGAACAGCAATTAAACTTAAAATGGACAATGGCCGTGGCCTTGACCGGGCCAGAGAGGTTAGGCTGTTCCCCTAGCGTCGTGCCTGGTTTTATGGCTGTCACTTAAGAGTCCTGTGTGGTGCATACCATTACCCCAAGTGGCAAGTGGCTGTGGTCTATGGCCTACATGTGCCTCCTGGACGGAGGCAGGACCCACTGCACTCTGGACTATGGACCATGGAGTCTTTATGCCATTATAGTGGCCATTCCCATTCAGCATTCAACTTTCGCTGCCAACCATTCCCATTTATCCTAATTAACACTAACTGCTAACGGTGGGGATGGCGAAAAGGGGGGGAATTAGAGCGGAGAAAGTGCGGAGAAAGTGGTCAAAGGGAGGCTGGGAGGCACTTTTCAACCTGTCGCCATGGGAACCTTGGCATTTTCCACAGCAACTACGCATTCATTAACGCATTTAGTTCCGCCAGAAGTATGTAGGAGCAAATGCATCCTCCGCTGTCCAGCCCTAATCTCCGGGCGATTGTTGACGAGTGCTGCCAGGTGCAGGATGTCCTGGAGGAGCCAAAGGACACGACTTGTCGCCATTGTTCTGGCAGCAACTTTCGGACCAAGTTTAAATCAAGTCGCCGGCCTGACAAAGGTTTCTGCCGAGGAGGGGGGCTTTCTTTTGGCAAGAAAGGCGTCAGGAGCAGCAGGTCCACAACTTTAAAGTCAAGAAAATTACATTTTCTGATTTTGGAAATCCGAAGAGCAAGTTTCCTCCCAGCCCTGGGATTAAGTCAAAAGTTCTAACGAGTCAAGTAAACACAAATGTAAACATTTACTCAAGCGGGCTAGAAATAAAAAATGCAACGACTGTAATGATTTATATTTAAATTTTAGAACTGGCTTGGAATTTAATTTAAAAAAAAGGCTAAAAAGGAGTTAGAGTATGAATGATTTTATCAAATAAGGACTAGTGAGTTTTTAGAAAATATATGTAGACTTTATACTTGGTAGTCATACCTATACCATACCTATTTAACATGTTCTTTGTTTTTTTTTTAATGATAATAGCTCCATTAATAGCTCAAGTTTACTTAACTCTTCTAAAATATAATAACTATTCATACCCTGTACTTGCAAACTTATAAAAATTATAGAACTAAATAAAATATAATATAATATATCGATATTTAAATTCTAATAAAATAAAAATATACATAGTATTCATTCCTGATACTTTAAAAGTAAAAAGCTATTCTCTAGATAAAAGATATTCTCTCTAGATAAAAGAAATAACATTTATTCACTTTTTCTTATTGAAAAAAAAATTCGAAAATAAAAATTAAATAGCACCCTCCTCCTCGATTTTCATAGTTGGCACTTAAGCAGAGTACTTAAAGTAAAAAACCTATCTCTTATAAATATTTTTAAAAAATTAAAAATAATATTTTTAAAACTTCTGCAATAATTTCTATCATTTAGAATATTAAATCAACTCTAATAAATTTAATTTAACCTTAAAACCAGCTATAAAATGTCTAAAATATCATCTCTATTCGCACAATCGATTGTGCCTTTGGTGCCTTTTTCTGTTTCGGCTTCGGCACGCGAAACTGCTGCAATTGGCCGCCAAATGGCCCCAAATGGCATTGACCTGCAACATCGAGCTTGGGTTCCCTCTGCCAACCTCTGACCTCCCCTCCCCCCCTTCCACATGTCCTGCAGTTCTCTTCTCTCACCTCACGCCCCTTGACCTGCTTGGCTTGGGGGGGGGGGAACACGCCAAGCAAGCATTTATGGCGGCAATTTCGCCATCCTGCGCAGTTCCCCAACTAATTTGCCCTCGTTTACCCCAACTTACAGCCCATACCCCACCCAAAAAAAACAGAAAAAAAACGAGAAAAGTCCCCCATAACCCCTAACATTCTACGCCCCTGGTCTTTGGCATCGCGTTGATTGCATGCACGTGCAAAAGTTGGACTTGTATGTGCCACGCCCTTGCCATTTCCCCCGCGGTTATCCTCACATATGCAATAAAAAAAAAAATACAAAAAAAAGGACGCCTTAAGAGGCGCCTCCAAGGGGGGCCAACAAATAGCCCAAAGACCAAATTATATCTCCCAAAAGAGGTCAGCGAACTTTCTTCAATACTTGAGCTTTCTTCAGGAGGGATTATCTTTAATAGAGGATTTCTAATCAAAGAATAATAATAATAATAATAATAATAATGTGAGGGATTCGAACTTATAAGTGCGCCCCTGACCGCCAGCTCATTTAATTTTCCGATTGCGATTTTCTGACTTTTCTGACAGCTCCATTTGCATAGCTGAGTACGGGGTCACCTGGTGACCCCACTTAATTTTTAGAAATCCCTGCCTAACTGGCTCGTCTCTCTCGCTGATTTAGGCTGTGTCTTCATTTTGGGAGCCGACAGACTAAATTGCCTATCAAATTATATAGTCAAGGATATGGGTTTTTAGATAAAAATAGTTGAAAGGTCAGGTAGTTGAAAGATAGTCTGTATTCCATAGTCTGTATAGTCTGTATTACTTAATTAATTTATTTAATTACTTTTTAGGCTCACCTGTAACGCATGCGGACATGAGGATAGACACTGGTCTGGTACTGCTCCTCCAGGACGGGCGAATCGAACTTGGGATCCAGCCAGGACTTGGCCGCCGCCCGTTCAAAGGCCACCGGCAGCATAACGCTGCAGCAGGAGTGCCGCCGTCCCGTTTGGCTCAGGTAGGTCTGGATGTGGGGGGCGAGGGCGATCTGGATGTCATCGGTGGAATTGGCCCGGCTATCGTTGGCCAAAACGCCCGGCGGCATAGCCGTTAAGCTCACCGACTGGCGACGCGACTAGAAAATACAAAATATATAGAAAAAAAGGATTAAGAGACAAGGACATTTGTAAGGATTAGTCGTGGATTGTTGAGTAGGCGAAGGGCTGGAATATGGGTTCAGGTTATGGGTCAAGGACGAGGATGGTTATGGCCTGGGTTAGGATATATAGTCTTCAGGCAAGAAATATTTTAAATTCTTTTATTTTGATTTTTTTATAACTTTTATAATCGCTTGTAAAGATTTCTTAAAAAATTGATTTTTAATTTCCTTGGCTTGTGATGTGATATTTTTGATTATCACCAAAAAAAAATTGGTTCGCGGGACCGAAAGTCACGCGACACCGTCTCTGATTTCTGATTTTATTTCTTTTTTTTTTGTGATATTTGCCAGCTGATTTGCGATTTCTGTTTGGCTTCCACGGCCTTCGATTTCTGGCAATCTTATCTTAAAGAAAAAAAAAAATAAATAAAAAACTGAAAAATAAGTAAAGGCCATTCCCAGACCAGGTAATGGTAAAGAAAGTCAAAGTGCAATCGCAAGAAATATTAATAATATCAAAGTGGGAGCTTTGTGCCATAAAATCGCGTATACGACCCGTGGGCGGCACTCGAGCGAAACGCACACGAAACGGACAAAAAGTTGCTAAGTTAATCATAAAAAACGTATTCCCCAGTCCCAAACCGATTTGCTTCTTCATTAAGAAGCCGCTAAAAAGTGTTTCCAAAAATAGACATTCTCCCTGATATAAAAACAAATATACAGATCATTAATCTTCTGGAAGTATATTTTTCCAAAAACTATAATTTATTATATAAAAACTATAAACTAAGTACAACTAGTGACAGCTTCTGGTCATAAATTAAATATCAGGTGGTTTAAAGCTTAAACTTTAGTATCAGTATTAAATCAGTGAGTCTTAAGCATTATCTTGTCACCGGCATAATCCCATTTATCTTAATTTATTACAAACGTTTCAAAAACCATATCAAGAACCTTAAATTCTTTTCGTCTATAAAATTTATTCCACCACCGAAAAAATAAAATAATAATAAAGTCCTACAGTCTTTGAATTTTTCCAACTAATGAGAGAGTAAGAGTAACCGTAAGAGTTACAAAAACTTTTCTTTTCCCTTTTTTTTTGTGGAAAAAACTTTCCTTTACCTTCTTGTTCTGGTTTTTCTTTTTTTTCACATTTTTTTTTCCTCACAACCTTTTAATTTTTTGGGATGAAATAAACCAAATCTGTGCTCAAGTTGGGATTCCTTTCAAGAAAAATATTTCATTTGCGAAATGGCCAGAAGTAGGGTCTCTTTTGGACTAAATAATTACTTAAAAGTCTTGGTTTTTTAGAAGCACTACACCTACCAGAAAATAATCCACAAGTAGTCCAAAAATTTAGGATAAACATTTCGATAAAATAATATTAATCACAATAATAAATCACAAAAAATCACTTAGGCTATAGACAGTTTTCTGTTCACTTTGATTTATATTTATATTTAATTTAAATTAATTTTCAAATAATACGTCTTTTTTTTTTTTGTTGAGAACACAAGAAAAAAAAAACGAGTCACAGTCGTGGCGGTTCAACGAATTCCGTTGACGCGGCGCTGGGAACTGATTTGAATTTCGGTTTTCAGTTTTCAAGTTCCAGTTTCTTTATATTTTTTTTTTTGTTGCTTTCAGCTTTCGTCGGGGACTGTCGATTGTCTCGATCGCAAAAACAGCTGACAGCCAAAGAGAGCAAAAATACAAAAAAAAAAAAAAATGAAAACGCAACCTGGAAGCTTATCGCTCTGCCCTGATAACGCCCAGGTGAGCGAAATCTTATATATATATATATACCATATTCATATCTCTGACAAACACACACCGGAGAGAGTGAGAGCCCCCCCCATTAGCGATAAAAATCAGCGATCAACTTGAGATCAGTCCTCAACCCCTCGAAACCATAAATTCTCAAGTGGCCAAGGATCGCAATCTATGAGGTCATATTACTCAGATATTGCTGATGACAATACCCCGCTAATAATTATATACCTACACATCCAGTGTACCTATGTTTAAAATATAAAGAGTAAAAAAAAAATTAATATAAATAGCGCTCGGTTTGGGACGATAAGATAAGAAATGGCCCAGACAAAAGCGGGGACGAGCTCTTTGAACTGAAAGGGCGATTTTGAATCGCCTTGAACTTATTCGTGAGTGCACTCATTACACTCAAAGTCGTTCACTCTTCCGCATTCAAACAGGAAAGTAAAAATATTGACATAAATATTAGAGAGGAAATTATAAAGAGGTATTGGAGATATCATGTCCCTGTGTCCGTCTGTCCGTTAAAAGTGGTTTTTATGGTTTTGGTCTTCTATTTTTTAAACTATCGACTTAAAATCTAACAGATATTGGGCTTATATTATTATACGCTGTTTTAGAGTCTAAAAAGTATAAATTATTTCTCCTGGAGGTAGTTGTGACTATGTCCGTGTGTCCGTCTGTCCGTTAAAAATGATTTTTTGAGTCTTTCTCGCCCATTTTTGTAGCTCTTGACTTTAGAATTTACATACATGCGTCTTAAATTATTATTAATTGTTTTCAAGTCTAAAAAAAATATTTAATACCTATTGAAAGTTGATACGACTATGTCCGCGTGTCCGTTTAACGTTTTTATGATTTTTTATAAGGAATAATCTCTTCTTTGTAAAGATATTAACTTCAGAGCTAAAATACATTCCTTTTTAACTATTTTTAACTGTTTTAAAGTCTAAAATCATTAAGAAATATCCCCAGACATGCCCTCTTGTCCATCTGTCCGCCAAATTCTGATTTTTTGTTCAGCTCTTCCCTTAGTTTTAAAATTATAGCCTTTATAAATACTTCTACTTTTAATACTTAACCATAATACTATTATTTAGTCTATTTCTCATATTTCCAGTTCAAGTATAGCCCCCTGGGTAGGGTATATCTTTCCATAAAAAATGAAATCATGAATGACATTGTGTTCTGGCCTGTTATCTCTGCTATCAGTTAAATCATTGTCTACTCGGCAATTAAAATGAATCATCTCTGACAACAATCATCTTGAAGTAAGACAGCACTGTTGTGTTTACAATTTAAAACGAAATTACAACCTAAATAGTGGTACAACTTTCCGAAAACCAAAATCCCAGTAAAAGCTGACTTGGATTGAAGCCTTGATGGAAAATCCTGTACATTTCTCGACTTAATTTTGACTTTATACGAGTCTGAGCCCTACTCACCTGGCATTTCCATTTGTGTGTACCAACGATTTAACTCTTGACATTGACGAGAGACTAGGACTTGGACTTGGACTAGTTTTTGCCAGCAATATGCATTTTTTGGGAGGGGGATATCAGGAGGGGGGCCACAGAAGACAGGAAATTGGAAAATTTTCTTGGCCACTGACTGCAAATCGAATTGCCAATATTTGTTTAATTAAAAGAGTCTCTCTCTCTCTCTTGGATCAATTCTGGCCCGAAAAGCGGCAAAACTGTTAAGAAGTTTATTGTTTTTTTGTTGCTTTTTTGCTATATTTTGAATATTAATTAACAGAAAACGGCTGAGAAGGCAGAGAGTTATCAGGCAACTGATAAATTCTGAGGTGATTCCGTGGGAGTAATGCGAATCCGTTACGGAAATTACCAAACGATAAGTCTATAATACCCATAGGTTTAAGATTTCAAACACGACTGTGGGGTTTTTTTATGATTCAACTAAGAAAACCTTAAAAATCAAACGAAACTCCACCAATTTATTTGAATCGATTGTGGGTTGTGTTGTTGTTAATTTTTGAAAGTGCTCTTCCCCCCCATCAGAATAGCTATTTTTTGATGGCAAATAAGAGGAGAAAATAGACCAGACTAGAGTAAAAACTGAAAAGTGCTTCGACCAACAAAGTAATGCAATTGAGCAAGCCAAGTCCTGGAGGAAAATGTCATGTCCATTGCTCGGGTGCCCAAAAATATGATTAACTGTCAAAACAGGAGTGGCCTGGGAAATGGTCAAAAAACCAATGCTTTATAGTGTGTGTGTGGAAGGACCTCCTCCACAAAGTGCAAAGAGGCAATGCGGTTTTCGATGTGGCCTCAGAGTGTCCTTGCCCGAGCCACACCGAGCCTCTTGTGCCGAACAGAAGGGAGGCTGACCAGAGTCCATAGTGTCCTGCCTGGTCCTCCTACTGGACGCCAAAGTGTAAATAAGCACTTAAATTTTTAATGAATACACATGAAGCTGCCAGGATCAAAAGGGGTAAGCCAAAAATAAAAGAAGGGGATATCAGTGTCCTGTTATTGTCCTGTTTGGTGTCAACAAAATGCAATCAGAGGCATTCAAGTCAGAGCACAGGAACTATGAGTTGTTTTTAAAGAGGCTTCTCTAAAATCAAGGATATCAAGGATGCTTTGCAACAAAAAACAAATTAAATACCATTGAAGCTTTGTTTTTTATTTAATTATTAATATTTTTCCACTTGTGTTGGCTGGCGACTGAAATATTAATGACTTAGGGGGGGGCCAGCACATTCGGTCGCATTCAAAATGCACAAAGGCTATCCTGCCAAGAGGGGCGAGGCGGGAATATAACAATAAATGACAATAAATGAAAATGCGATTATAACAAAGCAGTCAGCCTCCTTCTACACACAAAGATACAAGGATACGACCTACCAGCCTACAAGGACACACAATCAAAAGCCCAAGAAAAAGGCAAAGGCGATTCGAATATGAATGTGAATGTGAATACGAATGGCATTATTTATAATGCATAAAACGAAATATAATCAAGCCATATACATTCACAAAAAAGTTATATACATATGTATGTATGTATGTTGGAGAAGGCATGAAGAGGCACTTGCCTGTAAACCTAAAATCCTCTGCCGTATTATGGCCCTTTTTGTGTTTTTTTTTTTTGCTTTCAACTCAATTGACAGTGGTAATAAAAACAAAATAAAGAAATAATAAATTCAAGCACCTTAATAAATAAATAAGAAGAAAAGA